ATAATAATCCATACACAGATAATGTAACAGAATAAGGCAAGAAAAAACCGAAGGTTTGTTTACCCAATTCGATCAAACGATCTACTTTGAGGGAGATAATACAAGTTCGTCTTCAGGTTCCCAAGAACAACACTATATTTTACTCAAGTATTTCCCAACCTCTCCAACTATCAATATATGAATCACTCAAACCCAAGGTGTAATAGTGTTTCACAATAACCTTGAACAACTCCAAAGGTTTCCCTAAACCTTTGCTTTTCTAAGGTTTTCCTTGTGAATAGCTGAAACCATATGCTATGGCTTTAAACTCTTGCTCTCCCTTGTTGGTGTAAAGTCTAAGATTGTCACACACCAAGCATTTAAGAGATAAATATTTATATTAGCACATACCCAACAAACAAAGCCCAAAATCACATGGATCCATGGATCAGATCGAAAAAGCCAGAAAATCAAAAATACTATTCATTCTACGGACAATACTATTCACCGTACGGACATTACTATTCATCATGTACAGGTATCACTATTTACCGTACGGACAACACTATTTACCGACCAATTTTTTCTCGACTTGTTGTCCGATTTTCGCGGTAAATGCAATCTCTAAAATATATTTTCTTTCTCTTAATAAATAAAGGTTTTAAGGCACATTTACAATAATATTCACCTTGACTTTAAATCATGTTGATACCAATTTAACAATCAACAACATTGTTGCTCTCTACCAAGTTGAAACTTTGATCAAATTCAAGAAACCCTTGAATCTTGATCTCGCAACTTACATCCACTTGTTCCCAATTACCCTTTTCTTCCTAGGTAATTTAACAAGCCTGCAAGTATGATTTTTCAACCACCCTTGACTACACATGTTTTCAAATGCCTCCCTGAAGGTTTTTCTTCTTTTATTTTGCAGTCCTTCAACCACATTAAAAACATAATATTCAAGGCTAGCATAACTGTCCCTTTGAGATGCTACAATAACCCTCATTACCTTATCATGAGCTAAATGATAATCAGAGATCACTATAACTGTTCCCTCACTACTACTAGCATCTATAGTAGGAAACTCCACCTCAAACCGAGTTTCCTCCGTCATAGTTTCTCTCAGGTTTCTCCCTTGATTTTCACTATTCTTCTTCTGAAGAAATTCTCTACCAACCAAGTAAGTTATTTTAACCTCAACTCTTTACCAAAAACTCATAAACAACTCAACGGTAACATGCATTTTTATCCCTTGATTTCTGTAAAATTTATTGTACTCCTCTGAAACTTTCTCAAGGCATTCATAACGCTTTAAACTTAAATCTCATAGCTCTTCTTTATCATGAAAGCCTCCACTTGTTAACGATGAATTAATAATAACATTTGAACCTTCTAAAATATATAGACCACATATTTTAGACCCTTTAGCAATAATTAATTCATCACGCGAAATATTCAACACTCCACGTTCAACTCTAGTACAATAGCCTGGATCATTAAACATACTTATAGATAACAAATTTAGTTTGAGTTCTGGAACATACCTCACATTGTGAATAAGATGTTCACAATCATTAAATATTTTAAATCTGACCGTACAAATAACATGAACTTTGCACGCCTTATTATTACCAAGGCGAACTACTCCATCTTGCACCATCTTCAAAGTTTCAAAGTATTTTATTCTTGGACACATGTGATACGAGCAACCTGAGTCAATGACCCAACTATCTTCAGTTTCCAAACTCGATACTACTAGTGTTTCTGCATACTCATAACTTTCCTCACCCAATGCAACTACAGTTTGAACATAATCTTCATTGACCTTTCTTTCAGGACAATCCCTTTTAAAGTGACTGATTTTATGACAATTAAAATTTTTTACCTTTGACTTTTCAGACCTCTTTGATTTGGACATCCCGTTACGCTCACCCCCTCCTTTTGACACATTTAAGCCTTCACCACTATATTCAATCTTCAAGTCTTTCGAGTTTGAAAATTCTTTGAATATCACCATCGTCTGGACTTCATCCAAAGTAATAGCACCTTTCTTACCATAAAGAAGGGCATTCTTAAAGTGCTCAAAAGATCAGGGTAATGACCCACCAACAGGAGTAAAACCTTGTCCTCATCATCAATCTTCACTTCAATATTCTCAAGATCATCGATAATCTTGTGAAATTCTATGAGCTGCTCACCTATGGATTTGTTCTCCACTATTCGAAATGAATAAAGTTGTTATTTCAGATAAAACATGTGAGCCAAAGACTTTGTCATATACAATGATTCAAGTTTTGCCCATATAGCAACCGAGTTTGCTCCGTGGTGACTTCTCTTAGAACTTTATCCTCGAGGCACAAGATAATGGCACTCATGGCCTTATCCACCATCTCGGTCTTTTGTACCTGTGTAAGTCCTGCAGACATCAATGCTTCACTCTTCAAAGCATCAATACACTTCTCTTGAATTAAAATTGCTTGCATCTTAATTTTTCACAACCCGAAGTCGTTGTTAACGGGAAATTTCTCGATCTTCCATCTACTAACCATGATGCTCAGTTGTCAACAATATCTCTTTGCTCTACGCTCATCGCACCACTTGTTGTGAATCGTTTTGTGAATTACGACAAAATTCAATATCAATTTGTGAGGCAAAGAACAATAACAACAAAAATAAATGGTCTTCTGCAATAATAATCTATACACAAATAATATAATAGAATAAGGCTAGAAAAAACTGAAGGTTTGTTTAACCAGTTCAATCAAATGATATACTTTGGGGGAGAGAGCAGTTCTCCAATTCATTATACTCAGAAAGTGGTTACAAGAGATTACAGATGAGTTACAAGAAAATAGCCTTCACCTTCAGGTTCCCAAGGACAACCCTATTTTATACCCAAGTGTTTCTCAACCTCTCCAACTCTCAATATATGAATCACTCAAACCCAGGGTGTAACAATGTTTCACAATAACCTTAAACAACTCCAAAGGTTTCCCTAAACCTTTACTTTTCTAAGGTTTTCCTTGTGAGTAGCTGAAACCCTATGTTATGCCTTTAAACCCTTGCTCTCCCTTGTTGGTGTAAACTCTAAGATTGTCAAACACCAAGCATATAATAGATACATATTTATAATAGCAAATATCCAACAAACAAAACCCAAAATCACATGGATCCATAGGACGAATCGAAAAGCCCAAAAATCAAAAATATTATTCACCGTCGAACAACATTGTTCATCGTACGTGCGTTACTATTCATCCGTACAGATAATACTATTTACCGACCGATTTTTTTCTTGCATTGTCGTCTAATTTTCGTGGTAAATGCAATCTCAAAAATATATTTTCTTTCTCTTCATCAACAAAGGTTTTAAGACACATTTACAACAAAGCTTTTATCCTTGTATGTATACTTTGTCAATAATGGCGACAATGCACTTTTTAATGAAACTTGTGAATTTCCCGTTGATGATAACTTGTCGGAGGCATTACATATGCTTTGGAAATGTGAAGCCCGATCAAAGATTCTTTCGTATGTGTTGAGGTTATAACAGAACTTGTTATCAACTTTTGAGGCTCTATAATAGCGAGTTGTTATAAAAAATTATAATGTTTGTCTGTGTTTTTTTAGAACATCATCAAAAATTTGAATTATATCTTCTTCAAAAAGTAATTATAAAGCCATGAAAAGAAGACATTTTATATCCTGATGATGGAAGTTACCTACCCAGTAAAACCACCCTCGGTGACATGAGCCCTTTTTGGAGAACCATTATCTCGGAGGAGTTTTGTTCCTCATCTAAGGCCCTATTTGTTGAAATTGGAGGTGAGGATGACTCCACCACAATTAAAGCAGCCACAACATCCACAATTTGATCTGCATCAGGAGAAAAAGCAAAAGTCTCTATAGTCGGTGTAGGAGAATGGGCCAGAGCAAGAACAATGGTAGCCAGAGGAGCTAGGGTAGAGGTAGAAGTTCTAGTATTCACCACAACCTGAATACCTTGAGCATTTTCAAAGTTGTGGAATAACTTCAGTTTGTTCACCTTTCTTATGCTATCTATAAAAACACAATCACACGTGTTGAAAAAAATTAAAAAAAATATAAAAAAAGCACGAAGACTCCACTTTCATAAATTTTCTCTCCCTTTTCTTGGCTAACTGCACTCAAGATAACATGAGTGTCTACCCGCCTTTTTCTTATTTCGATAGAGGATATCTCACCATGGTTGAACCATTTCTCATACCCAAGCCCCTGAGGGCAAAATTTTCGTACATCCAAAAAGTAAACTAGTAAAATGAGGGAAAAATTTAGGGTACGCCATCAGCATGTCACAAATTCGAAGATACATCTCCAAAAACAATCTAGATATATTTCGGAAATACATCTCCAGATGAACTCGCGGTTTTCAGCAATGACAGATACCTCATTTCTACTCTAAAGTCCAATCAAATGACAATGAATATCTATATCATCTATCTATTTCAATTGTACTACTATCTAACGCAACTTAATCAATCTATGTTACCTAAAACATCATTCAAAATACACAAAAAAAAATGATTACAAAAATAGAGTTATGATTGAAAGACTTGAATAGAGTGAGTAACTTTGCATCAAATGAAATAGAATTAAGTGAATTTGACAAAACTTACTCAAATAGGATTTGAAAATTTTGAGTTAGTATTTAAAAAATAAAGGAAGATGGAAAGGTCTAAGATAAGTTAATGTATAAAATGAGTCACAAATACATCTTCGGATCACTCATTAAATTTTGAATTAATGATTTTTAGGGAGACCTATTTTCAATATTTTTTTATAGCATAAGAAGATACATATCTAAGATAAAATTTTGATAAAATTAGGGTGATTCTTCTATTTACACGGAAGAAAAGGGACAGTTTTGACTTTTTAAAGGTGGCAGAGGAGAACCTGATGATGTAACGATGGTGGGAAAAGTAACTCCCCGAAGAAATCCAGTATTGGCGTGAATCCAGAAAGTGAGGAAGAAGAGAAAAATGAGGGGAAAATGGCGAAGTGTTTGGAATTGGAATCGGAATTTGGTGAATGTGAAATTGAAAAGGGAAAACGGTTGCCGGTGGCGGTTATTGCACGAAGGTCCAGACACCGTAGAAGAACTTCTCGATAGACATTTAGTCAAGAGAGTTAATAATAACAACAACGATGATGATGAAGACGAGTTGCTGAATCGGAGGCGACTCACCAGCACTCGCCGTGAGGCACTGAGTCTATACAGGGACATTCTTCGTGCTTCGCGTTTTTTCGCCTGGTCTGATTCTAAAGGCGTTCTTTGGCGCGATCTCATTAGAGATAGCGCTCGTAAAGAGTTTGAGCTTGCTCGATTCGAAACCGATCCGGAGGTTGTTACTCGCTTGCTAATCGGAGGACACGAGGCTGTCAACAACGCCATTGAAAAGCTCGCCGAGAAACAGAGGCAGCAGATTCAAAAGGATCGTGGCAGTGGTGGTCCTGATCAAACCTGATTGTGCCAATGATAATCTTCTAATCTTAAAGGTAATTAATGCAATTTTATGTATTTTTATACGTTAAACCTTTTGTTCTTGATCGTTGCTCTCTAGTGTGAATAGTAGGTTGTAGAATTGAAGTACGATAAGGATTGATTTTCAGTGGTGATATAGATTTTTGGTTTTGAACTGCTCTATATTTTGAGAATTGATCAATAGCTGCCACAGAACCACCATAGTTTAGCTGAATTTGAACAAACGCTATTGTTCCGCAAAATGCTATTTAGTAAAAAAATATGTAAAATAGTTTGAATTTGAACAAAGTGATGTTTTCTGTCCGAGCTTGACAACATTTTGTGTATGTGAGTGTGTGATAGTTTAAAGTTGAAAATTTCAGATTCTTGTTTATGCCAGCCCGGGGGAAATGGGAATGGTTACGCTAAACTTGCCGAGTCATAATCGGGAAAGGGAAGGACTGAATCAAATTGATCATTTTGTTAAAGTTTATCAGCGCAAGACAATAATGAAATAAGTCTATCCTTGTCTCAGTTATTTACTTAGCTTCATTGTTGGTTTCTATGAACTCCTTTACATGGCGTTCTGACGAATGGACAATATGCCTCTAACATGACACAACTTTAATTAATAATATTGTGTGCGAGGAAACTAATAATTCATTGGCAGATATTATTATCTGGAGTTACTAATAATTTAACCTTATATTTGAAGTTAATTCTCTGTTGTACAAGTAAAGAACATCAACAACAACCAAGGATTTTATGAAGATCTATGAATCCTAGGTCTACTGTTATAAGTGTTGAATATTTTAACTATCTGAGCTGTTTTTTCTTTGCTTTAAACTTTATTTCATCTTTTTAAGACCTAAAATGTAATAGGGTGTTTAAACTCAACTTCCACTGTCACCTGAGTTTGTAGATAAAGGAAAATGTGCCGAAGAATTTGTTCATAGTTGCTCATTATTACCAGTCAGTTTTGTTTCCATCCTTTTATGTAAGGAAGTGTAGTACATATCCTCTCTAAGGGATGATGGTGTAGTTTTGAATATAAGAGAAGAAAACAATATACTTAAGCCTCTATCAGAAACTGAGAAAATTATTTACTGCCGCCAATAAAAAAATTGTGACCTATGGAATCAAACATACCCACTTTGCTTATAGCAATTTGGGTACTGTCATATATAAATATTTTATCTTTTCATGTGGAATATCCTCAAGAGAGCTATTTACATTTGTGGAATATCTTTTCTTGTACTGGCATATATAAACATTTAATGCGTCCTGCAATTCGACCTTGTTCTTTCTGATAGGGCTATTGCAAACTTGTAGAGAGCTATTTACATTTGCATGTATGGAGTATGGACTTTAACATAAATCATGATTATGTGAGAGTACAAGTTTATTTGTTCTGTTGCCAATTTGTTATCCATGTTCGATGAAAATATTTAAATCTTCACAAGTGAAAATTGATTGAAGGAGTTTTTCTTTTATTCAGATTATTTACTTATATGCCTATACTTTTTAGTTTTGGGAAGTAGCCGTTCTTCATGGAGAGCCAAAAGTTGAGTATTGTGGAATACATCTGGCCAAGTAAGCAGCTGCAATACTACCTAGTAGAAGTTTTGTTAGAAAATTGTGATAACAAATTTGTTATGTATCTCCAACAAAGTTATATATGTACTAAATGAGTTGTCCTGTGAGTTACTACACTGATATTAATGTCTGGAATAACTTCTGAAATTTGCACATACTGTTTTGTGATGATAGAATACGATTTTATGGAATTGTGAAGTAGTTCATTTCTCAGCATCTATTTTAATTGCTTGCTAAAACGGTTTTAGTAAAATCCCTATTGTCTTTGCATCTATTTTGCTTTGCACATTGTAAGTATCAACTATAGTACAGCAGCTGCTGCAGGGGAGGTTGAGTTAGGATTTTGATATGTCCAACTCTCTTTTCAACTTTTAATTTCTTTTTTAGAAGTAGGTTAATTATGAAATGGACTATTCCAAATCATTTGAAGTCAACAACTCTAAACTGACTATTTTTGTTAAAAAAAATTAGAAGAAAACTAGTAACATGAACTTCAGAATTTCATGCAAAAGGAATGTAAATGACCTTAACTGTCAAAAGACAAACGAGCACTATTATTTGTAGCATAATTATGTCTTGGACTTCATAATTTTATTTATATTCTTTTGGTACATCATGTAGCTAATTTACCAGATAGCTGTACAGTGTTTTGCATTGAGTACCATATAATTTTACACAAGTAACAGTACACACGTTGACAGATTGGAGAGTGACTCAGCCTCATGTAGAAAAACCAGAATGCTGCAATAAAAATCAGAAAACACAATGTTTTTTTTTTATTAGAGGTACATCACAAAATAATCATGGTTTCTCTCTCTCATCATTATCCAAGGTCCCCTTTTTCATCATAGCTACAAACTCTTGATAATTAATTCGTCCATCCTGCAAAATGAAAGTACAGCCATAAGTCGCATTTCACATAGAGAGCAAAGAAAATTAAGAAGTGCTTATTTACAAGAAGCCAAAAGTAGAGTATATATGTCATACATTGTCAGTGTCTACATCATCTATGACTTCATCTATGGTCGCTTCATCTCCCATTTGATATTCAGCCAAAGCCTGTCTAAGTTCCTCTCTTGTTACATAACTGAACAAAGACATACAAACAAAATTTCAGGTGAGCAAAAATTTGAGAAAATTTACAATCCAAATAAACGAAAATCTGATACTGATGAAAATCAAAGCTAACTTGTACTTAACTTCTGAATTACTTGTTAATTAGTGATTCTGATTCAAGTTACTGAACATACTGTGCTACTTGAATATATTAGTAGAATTAATCAAGCAATACTGACCCGCTGTTATCCTTGTCAAAGTATTGAAAAGCCTTGAACAAATTCTCTTCCCTCTCAAGTTTATGCCGGTTTATAGTGGCAGTAATGAATTCATGATAGTCAATAGTTCCATTCTGGTCAACATCAGCCTGACCAAACATGTGAATTAGGAGAAGTATGATGTGAGCAAATGTATTTTGTTTTCTTTTTTCTATTTTTTGGTCAAAATTTTGTTAAAATTAAAACAATGTGTCAATTTTATAATCAAAAAGGGAAAAAAAACAGTACATGAAAACAGAGCAGAAAATGTTGTCTCAAATGAAACTTGTCTTTAATTTATACGATTGAAGTAGAGTGAACTTACAGCCTCCATTAACTGCTTTATTTCAAATTCACTAAGCTTGGATCCCAATTTGGAAAGTCCAGATTTTAGTTCTTCATATGTGATTGTGCCACTTCGATCCGTATCTATATTGTTGAACATTTGTTTCAAGCCCTTGATTTCTTCCTCTGCAAGGTTTTCTGCTATTACCTTCCATATCAAAAATAAGAAAAACCGTTATATTTTATTTTTTTATCTTCTCATACTTTAGTCATATACCAAGAAAGTATAACTGTTTAAGTGGTAATGTATATTCAAATTTGAGGTACCTTTAAAGCAAGTTTCTTCATCTTGTTCATTGCTCTGAACTGTTTCATCCTAATTAAAACAGCATTGTCTAAGGGCTTATCTGATGCCTCACCACCTTCTTTCATCCATGGGTGCTCTGCTTGAAACCAATAGTGAGAGACCTTATTAGTAACAAAACTTGGTCTCTAAAATTATAAATAAAATACAGCTCTATGTTAATCAACTGAAATTAACTTAATTGGTTTCTACAAGGACTTACCAAGGGCATCAGAAGCTGTAATGCGTTTCTTAGGGTCATAACTCAACATTTTCCTGATCAAATCTTTTGCAGAAGCTGAAATAGAAGGCCATGGTGCACTCTCCAGATCAAGTTTGCCTTCCAAAATAGCTTGAAATATGCCCTTTTCGGTTTCTAAAATTATTCAACAAATAATCTCACTGAACAATTTTTAAAACTAAAAGAGAATTATAAGATTGTAGTTTACCAGCCCAAAATGGAGGCACCCCACACAAGAGGATGTATAAAATGATTCCTGCACTCCACACATCAATCTCCTTTCCATAATTCCTTTTTAACACCTCTGGAGCCACATAGTATGCACTTCCAACTAGCTCTCTATATACTTTACCTGTACATTTTCTCATTATTTAGTTAGAACCATAGTAATATATAGTTTGCTACTTCAGTGAGAATAACATGCAGATATGTCTAGGTTACCTTGTTTACTTCAATAACATGTTAATTGATATTTATATTCATATTATCATCACTAACACTTTGGTTTCTGCCATGCAAATATTGCAATAGCAAAAGGCAACAGAAACAAATTGTATGATATTCAATTTTGGTAGCAACCTAATTGTTATGGTGGGAACCACATCCAAAATTTAAATATATTTCTTGTAATAATGCAATTTGAATCATATATTAGGATTATGGTCCACTGATGAGTTGTAGGTTTCACATTTTACACCCATAATTAAGTGCTTGGCTTGTTGTCTCTGTTTTTCTTCTGTTACTCATTTCTCTAATGGGAAACCGTTTACTTGGTTGACTCAATGTTTCCCATAATAATACTGATTGACTTGGTCATATTATCCATATTTGTTTTTTCAACTCATCAAAGCTTTAACACCTAGCTAGGGGATTTTAGCAAGTTAACTAGAGTTAAGCTCTGATACTATCTTAGAGTGAGTTAATTTTTTTAAGCAATAAAAATACGATTGATAAAAAACAAGAAAATAACAAAAGGAAAAATTGAAAAGAAAAAAAAAACTCACTATCAAAATTCATGCTAAACAAATTAACTTGAGAGTTGTATTGCTATGTTTTCAGAGAAGGTAGCATATCTCCTCAACTTATCTATTTGCGATTTAGAAATAATTATTGTTATCCATGGCGGATGACCGGTCCATGGTGGAGAGCCAAAAAGTGCTATATTGCCTGCTTTGTGGCATTGTCATAGCGGATTATGGTGGAAAACTAGTAATATCGGCTGATATTTCGATAACATTGGATATAATTATAGTAAACTCATTTCCATTAGCATTGCAAATTGCATTTTTCGCATAAAAGATAAGTTTTGTAAATTGTACTTAGGCTTTATCTCTAGGCAGAGGGAATTGACAACTACTAACCTTCTTCAATGAAAACAGAGGATCCAAAATCAGTGGCTTTCAAAGGTGCCTTAGGATCCTTACTAGCAAGCAAGAAATTCTCAGGCTTAAGGTCTCTATGCATGACCCCCATAAAATGACAAGCATGAACCACATTCATAATTTGCTTGAATATAGAAGCAGCTTCACGCTCAGAATAACTACCCTTTAAAGTGATCCGATCGAAAAGCTCGCCGCCCAAACACAACTCCATCACCAAATGCACACTCTGTCTATCCTCATAAGCACCCTTAAACTCAACTATGTTGGGTTGTCCTGTTAAATGCTGAAGGATCATAATTTCCCTCTTAACATCCTCAATTTCCTTCTTTCTTAATAGCTTACGTCTCGAAATCGACTTACAAGCATAGTTTCTTCCAGTGGCCTTTTCGGTACAAAAATAAGTGACACCAAATTGACCCCTTCCTAGTTCCTTTCCGATACTATACAGTGTCTTCATGTCAATGTATGGTCTTCCTAATATTGGTTGATGCTCACTATTCGCATGCGATGATGAAGCAGAAGATGAAGATGGAGCTGATTTCGCACCAGTATTATGGTATGGATAGTGACGATGATGAGGTCGGGGTTGGTTTCTGTGTGGGAATTGTGGATTATCATAGTCATAGGAGATAGGTACTCTGTTGTCGTGTGGTTTGGTGAAGCAGTGTCCCATGTTGAATGATGTTTGTTGATGGAGAGATTGGTGACTTGAAGGGTGTTATAAACGTATAACATGGGTTATACAAATTAAGTTTATGTGTATAAACTTAATTAACTATGTACTGTATGGTATGTTATTAGTTTTCGATTTATGCTTTGCTTTTTTCTTGGGTTGGGTTGGTCCTCACAGCAGAAAAGCAATATTCTTCCCTTTTTTCATTAATACGCTTTGCTAGAGAGAGTGGGAAACAGGTTTTGTGCTTTTGTGTTACATGATATGATATGATCTATAGGCCATTTATGTGAATTATTCCTATAGGCCCAGGCCCAAGCCCAAAAGTCAAGAATTAAAATGGCCATTTATTATATATGATCTATAGGCCATCCGGATGAACCGTGGTTTTCTATCGACACCGAAGTGGAGAATAATATGGATTTTGTCCATCCGAACGGAACTAGGGTTTTAGAAATGGTGGATGTGGGTAAAGTATTATAGCAGGACTAAATTTGAAATTTTCTTCTTATTTTAGCTAGCCAACTCATTTAAAAACCAACGTATTTATTTTATTTGTATTTTGTTATTGACCCGTCAACTTGGTCGAAGGACAGGAGTTTTCATGCACCTACCCGAGTTAGTCGGAAATGGTGTGTTTCGGTTTGTTTTACCATCCCTACATGTTGACTAAAAAAAAATAGTGTTGCTAATGCTATAGTGGTTAAATGTGAAGGTTTAATGAAAGATTCAAGAATGTTCACTTTTTGCCTATTTCTTATTCAGCTCAAGTTCAATTAACCCAATACATGCAGCTAGAGGGACAAGTTAACTTAATATAGTATAACAAGCAGTTGCCGAATATGGAATATATAATAATTAAAATCAGAAAGTTAATGAAAAAACTCTACCTTCTTCAAGGAAAATGGAGAGTCCAAAATCAGTAGCTTTTACAGCAGCATTATCATCTTGTGAAGCAAGCAAGAAATTCTCAGGTTTAAGATCACGATGCATAACACCCATGAAATGACACACATGAACGACATTCACAATCTGTCTCATTATTTCTGCAGCTTCACGTTCCGTATAGTTCCCTTTCGCAATAATCCTATCAAAAAGTTCACCACCTTTGCAAACTTCCATCACCAAATAAACATTCTGTTTATCCTCATAAGCTCCTCTGAACTCAACTATATTCGGTTGTCCTGAAAGATGTTGTAAAATCATAACCTCTCTTTTTACATCATCTATCTCTTGTTCACTCAATAGTTTCGATCGTGATATCGATTTGCATGCGTATTCCTTCCCGGTTCTCCTCTCTGTACATAAATACGTTACACCTGATTGACCTCGTCCGAGTTCTTTCCTCATATCGTATATCTGATTTATCACGACATACGGTTTCCCTAGAATATGTCCTATTTGTGGATTACTAGAATATGGAGATTTTTTAGGACTAATTGGTAACAATGGTTGGTTATAGCCATAGCCAGAGCTATGTTGAGGAGAGCACTCTGAATCAGAAGACACAATGGGAATGTCTTGAGACTTTGTGGTGCAACAAAATAAGGCCTTAAAGAATCCTAATCCCATTCTCTAGTTATTTTTAATTTTCTAGTTTCTTTAGTAATTAACATCTCTTTCAAAACCTATATATATATATAGATTAACATAATGAGTTTTGTTACGATTTCAAATGTTTTGGTGCTTTTCTTCTTGGTTTGGACTATGGGTGAGTGAGAATATATATAATGTAAGAGTGTAAGTTTTGCAGCTTTATGCTCTGGAAAGAATTTATTCCATTAAAAACAAATAAAAGTTAGGAATGTCTTGAATGAAAGTTTCGCATATTTGTTCATCACTTTCTAAATAAATAGTAGCAATGTAGCATATTTGTTATAGAACTATAACATTACACTTTGTCTTTAACTACAATTCCGTAGGTACAAAATAATGTAAATGAAAACACTCTTCATGAGAAACTTAATATGTTTAATTTAATAAATTAAACTATTTGAATATTTGATTTTGACTTGATTGTAGTTATCTACTTGAAATCTAAAATTCATGTATCTTATAAAAAAACTAACATTAAACACATCAATTTTTTTAAATGTTCTTTTTGATTAATATTTAATTTGAGATGATTTTTTTCTTTTCATTTTAATAAAATATGTTGTATCATGGACTCTTGAATGTTGTCTGCCGCGGCAACAAAGGGACGCGTTGGATTATCATTTTCTTAAAGAAAGGGAGACGCTAATACATATTTCTTTTGAATTGTTTTATATTTAAAAAAATGTCTAAATAAGTGTTTTGTTTGAATTAAAAATAATAATAATATTTTGTTAATTTTTTTAAACAAAAATATATAATATTACAATTTTTAAAAAATAATTATACAAACGGACCTTGATTAAAAAAAAAAATTATACAAACGGACCTATTGTTAAACCTAGACTACATGAAAGCACTCTATGCAATTGGATCCATCAATACACAACTTAAATTAATTGAATTGGATGATTTGTCCTACCATCCTTCAAGTTATACTGACACTTCCCAATTTTTTATATTGATTAAAATGTTTTTCTTATTTTTTTCACTAATAAAATATTAGAAAATTTTCTCTCTTGCACAAAAAATTTGGTATGTCAATCAAAAGATTTAGTATGTATTTTCACTGGAATGTTAAAAAAATTAGGTAAAATCATGTTAATTTTTAGTTTAAATGCACTTTTGTTTTTGTTATTGGAGTGTTTTTTATTTTAATTTTTGTAAAGAAAATTCTAGTTTGAATTTCTATATCTTATTTTTGTGTTTTTTAATTTTTAAAATTAAAATCCATAAGAAAAATCCGTAGGTAACCTACAGATTTTTTTTAGGAACTAAAATCAACAAAAGAAAATAAGATATAAAGCCTTAGACTCAAAAAAAAATTACAAGGATCAAAATAAAAAAACTTACTAGTAAAAATTAATAGACTATTTAAGCCTTTGTTTTTTAACTTAAAAAAAAAACTGATAGTTCATATTAAATAGACATATAAAAATAAATTAATACTAGCAAATCTTTTGATAAATTTGATATGTTTGTAGATTTGCAGATATTTGTAAAATTTAGTACTGGTTCATATTAAAAAAATGAAATTAACATTATCGAATTTTTTATAAATCTAAAATATTTATAGTTGTTTGTATATTTAAAAATTGATATAAAATCAAAATTTGTATTTCAAAAGTTTATGATTTTATATCAGATATTAAAAAAATCTAGTATAAAAGTTTATAACGGATTTTTAAAAAGACTAATACAAATTGATTGATTTTTGAAAACAAAAATTATAATTTTACACATGTTTTTTAAAAAAAACATATTTAACATATATTTTGACACATTGACAATGTAAAAAAAATTTATAAAGTCATCCAATAAAAATATATCATTCTGTCATGTTATTAACTAGTTTAAAATTTATAGTTTGACTTGACAGAATATATGATCTAATTAGTTGACAGTATAAAAAAATTTACACGATTAATGCATTATCCATTTTTCCTAATTCAGAAAAAAATGTAGAGTTTAATAAACCTCCAGTTTATTAATTCAAAAATTTTAAAATTCACAGTTTTTCTTAAAAAAAAACGGAACACTTATATTAAATATATTTTAATAAAAGTGTATATAGTAGAGGGTGTCTGATAAAAATAAAAGAGTGCTAGGACAAATTTTCAATGAATTTTTTTGGATAAGTAAATATATTATATTAGGAGTACAAAAAATACTCAAACGTTATAATATAGAGTGAATACGAGTACTGTCAAATGAATCAAAGGTTAAAATAAGATAGATCAATGATTCACAAGACACTCAATTAGGTTTGAACACCAATCACTCCAACAAAAACCGGTGCGTGTTGGCAACCGGTTCAAAAGCAATCTCCACTAGAAAACTAATACTTTGAATAACTATCAAAGGAGATGAATTTGTTAGATCCACAATATAAGAATCAATATAAATTAACACGCTAATCGTGATAATTTTCATTTTAGTGAGTCCTACTAACCAAACAGGTTTACATTTAATTATTTTATAAATTAAATACAATTGACTTCTATAGAATTACCATGATTATGACTTAAACAATATTAACATTATTACTTATAAATTATCCAACAAAAAAATTCTTATGTTAACTCTGAGTTGCCAAAAAAGAAACTCAATTCTTTACCAATTAAATCAAATATTTATCGATCCATTTTATATTTTATTTTAAAAAAGAAAGCTAGAAAAACGACAAAAAGGAAGGCAACAATAATGGAGATGTTGTTATTGTTGACGGTTTCTTTGTTGTTTGTAATAGTTGTGTAGAGAATGCCAATCTATCATGTGATGAGATGGATTGGATGGTTAATAGTGGTGTTTATACTTATGTAACCTCGAGACATGATCTTTTGTCAACTTGCAAGGCCGGTGATTTTGGGGTTGTTCGTATGGGATATAATGGGCAAACTAATGTCATTGTAATAGGAGATATTTGTTTCGAAACTAGAAATGGGACTACTCTAGTTCTCAAAGGCATGAACAAACATTCGGAACTTTGATTTAATCTTTTACCCGTTGGAAAGTTGGATAATGAAGGACATGATAATTCTTTTTCGGCCAATGAGTGGAAGTTAAAGAAAGGACCAATGGTGTATGCTAAAGGAAAAAGGAATTCAAACTTTTATGTCGTTCAAATTGGGTTTCGAAGTGTTATATCAACACTTGTGACAATGATATTTCATCTGAATTATGACATAAGCGTTTGGGTTATATGAGTGAAAAAGGTTTGAGCATTTTGGCAAAGAATAATGTGTTGTATGGCGTTTTCGATGCAAAGTTGAGAAAGTGTTCGCATTGTTTGACGGGTAAGCAAAGACGAGTTTACTTTATGTCATTCGAATAAAAGAGGAAATCAGAAGTGTTGGATTTAGTACATTCTGATGTGTGTGGTATGATGAAGGAACCATGACTTGGTG